AAGGCACTGGCGGGTCTGCCCCGCCCCTAAGGTCGCAGAGGTTAGAAGTCGCAAAACGGGACCGGAGGGGGGAGCGAGGCCAATCGGAGGAAATTCTTTCCTTCGATTTCCCTTCAGATGCCCAGCGTTGGGCTCAGAGCTGTTTGAGAACTCGGGGAAAGGAAGCAGAGACTCGGGACCCTTCAGGAGGAGAGAGGAAACTGGAGGGTTAAGTGTGCCTTGTGCAGGAGCGGGGGATATTTTCTTCGAGTCAGTGTATCTTTAGCCGAGTGGGAAACTAAAACAGGGCTTGACTTTCATAGAGCTACACAGCGAAGAAATGAAAATGTTGAACGTTAGAGAAAAAAGGGAATCACAACGCCTAAATTACTAGATCTCTTTCTCAAACGTGAGAGATTTGAGGAAGCAACGCCGTGGTTCGGTTTTCTAAAGCTTGAATTTGGTTTTGGTCCCAGGACACGACCCTGCTGTCTGCCAATTCTGCGCATGCGCAACCTGGCCCCCAGAACTTCTCCCACCTTTTCTGCTTTGGGTTAAGATCTGTGGGGTACTGTGTGTGGAGTATCTGGTCTTTCTATTTTGTTTTACCGTGGACCTCAATTCTGTATGAGGCATATTTATTCGACAGATTTAACCATTTGAGGGTCAGTCTACTAGATTGAAAGAAGGAATACAATAGAAACCAAGTGCTTAAACTTTCCTTATCATTATGTTACGTTGCATCACATGCATTTACCAATATTTAACCATTTTAACCTACAGACAATGTACAGAGAAGCAGTCTGTCCATTCCTTAATCTACTCTTGACCTAAACAATCTTTAAAATGTCTTAGCGTTTTCCCATCTCAGCTTCCCTCAGCTTTGGCCTGAAGCTATCCTTAAAGGTACCTGAGCTCTTGCTCTGCAGGGCTAGCTACATAGGTCCAATCCTTCCATTCGATTAGGACACTCCTCAATGGGCGACAACATGCAAAGTTACCATATGTATGAACCAGAACTTTCCTTTTTGGCGAGAGGGGAGGATGCTACGTGAAGGTCCTAAGACTATAGAAATATCTTCACTTGAAAAAGGTAACCCTCTATCATTCCTAGCTCAGATGATAAAATTCCAATCAGAAGAAATAAGAACATGACATGTGTAATCTTACTGTGCCCAGCAAAATGACCTAGGGCCAAGGGTAAATCACATCTGTGGGCATAGCAAGCTGTATATCATGTAGAAATGGTTTTGCTTGGGCCGGCCCGGTGGCGCCCTGCTACAGTGCGCCGCTTGGGAGCGCGGCGGCACTCCTGCCGAGGGTTCGGATCCCACATACAGACCGGTTCCCGCTCACTGGCTGAGCGAGGTGCAGGAGCAACACCGAGGGTTGCGATCCCATTGCCGGTCCCGGTCTGGTACGGGCGCAACACTAAGGGTTGCGATCCATTGCCGGTCACGAAAAAAGACAAAAATGAAAGAAAAAAAAAAAAAGAAAGAAAGAAATGGTTTTGCTTTGTATACAAGAGAGAGCAAACATATAAAAAGTGTTATTGTAAAGCTGGGCAGGTAGGAAGGGAGAATAAGGGTTTACTAGAATCCCAGGGAAAGAGTAGGTTGGAATTAAAGGTTAGGAAGAGAACAGGGTAACAGCTATTGTTCTGGGCTGGATTGTCAATGAGGAGCATAAATACGATGTGCCATTGCATTTTGTAGATGCGTGTGGCTGTGTTTAGTGTGTATATATGTGGGTGAGTCTGAAAGAGGGAAAACAGGCTCCTATTAGGCTATGACAAACACAAATATTTGACAGATCAGAATTGAGATGCCTTTCTCAGAATGTATGCCTTCCCACTTTCCCCATCATTCTCTGAAGTGATGTCTTGCAAGAACTTGCAGACAGCTCATCCCCCAAATGACTAATATTTAGATAGCTGTGATCCTGAGATGACCAAGCAAACATTCCAGAACATAGTAGTTTGTAATATCATTAAATACGAATATAGTTTAGTCTTTTTCTTTGCAAAGATGTTTTCTAAAATATCTAATACCAATCGGGGATTGGCAAAGAATGTTCTTCAGGCTTAAAACAACACAACCATATTTCTCAGCCATCCACCAGAATGCAGTAGAAGCTCCAGGCAGCAAGTCTTTGGCAGGAGGCAGACTTGGTAATGTCACAGTCTCTGTGCCCAGGGGCTGTGGATATCATTGTCTGGCCTAAGTAGCCCACTAAGCTGAGAGATGTCCAATTCCCCCTAATACAGTGTCCAGGGGAGAAGCACCATGATATCACTGCATGTGAATTCTTATCCAGTTGGTTAATTAGATGTGTTCAGTTGTAACCACCAGGATCAGTGTTGCCCAAATTTGCTTGGTGATGAAAACCACTCAGAATCGGGGTCAGCCACATGGTCTCGTGACCAGTGCACTTGCACAAAACTGAGCACTGAGAACTCAGGGTCTCGCATCTGGGGTTCAATGCTTTGCATTTGTGTTCTGTAACTGAAGCCCAATCAGACAACAGAGCATGTGCTGGGGACTTGAGACCTCAAATCACTGCAGTCCCACTTCTCGCCCAACTCACTGGGGTGGTTTCTCAACCTCCCACTCCCCTACTCCTAGTGCCTTAGCCACCCCTGCCTCTCTCTCCCCCCATACCTGTCCAATGACCATTGCCACCCCCTAACCAATGGTACCCAGGCATACTTCCCCTCCTTGTTCCCTCCCACATTGTTGCCCTCCTTCCCCCACAGGGGACTGGGCACAGGTGCAGGGAGGATTGAGAGCTGGTGTACATGCCCTGTGCTATCTTGGGAGGGGGCATGGCCACATGGCATCTCCAGACCAGGAATGTGTGCCACAGCACATTTGGAGGATGAATGGTGACAGCAAGCCTCCTGCCCACGTCTATTCCAGGTGTCGAGCACATCCTGGCACAGAGGTTGCAATCCCTTAGAATCACCTCTGTGCCTGAATTGCTGCAGTAGGCCAGTAGCAAGGGAAGATTGACTTACCCTCCCCTGCAAAACAGCAAATTAACAAAAATAAAGTGACAGTTTGCAAGAGAGACTGCAGAAAAAATAAAAAAGTCTTGTATTCCAGTATCCTCAATAGCACATTTTTTCCTGGCTTTTGAACAAGGGGCCCCACATTTTCATTTCTCACTGAGCCCCACAAAGTATTATTGAGCTATTCCTGCCTGGGGTGAGCACATTTAAAACATAAAGATTACTAAGTCTTGGAAATTCTAATTTGGTAGGTATATAACACCTCTCAAACTTAATTATGCATAATAATAATATTCTGGAGAGCTTCATTTTTTCCCAGTCCCCCCCACCAAATATTCTGATTAATTAAGTCTGAATAAGCCCCTAAGTCTGTATCTTATAAGCACCCCAGATGATTTTACTGCAATTGGTCCACACTTGGAGAGAGACTGGGTGCTTAGAAGCACAAATTCTGGAGTCGGGCAGACCGGGGTTTGCATCCTAGCTTTACCACTAACTAACCTCAGGGGAGCGAATGCATATCTCTAAACCTTAGTTGGCTCATCTATAAATGGATATATTAATATCACTCCATAAGGATATTATGCTGTGAGTATTAAATGTATGTAAAACACTTACCACAATGACTGGCCCAAAGTCAACACTCAATAAATGTTCAAAAAATATTAGGGAGATTCTTAAGTCTGGGTGGTAGGCACCCTGGTGTTTATTATATTATTAAGTTGTTTTTTCTATATTGTTACAACTTTTCAAAATAAAAAGCAACAGCTAGAAAGAGAGGGAAGGCTAGAGTATGGAAAAGGAGGTCAGAGGCCAATAATGTGAGCCCCCATATGTTCCAGGCCAGAGGCTAGTACTTCAGTGTCTAGGACATTCTAGGTGTTCAGTAAGATAAAAAAAAAAAAACCTTCAAAAGAACATGCCCCGAGGACTATCTCTGACCCACTCTGAAAAGGACTGACCACTCCCTCTCTCTTGTTTATAAATGGGTTTATGCCTAGGGCTACCTGTGCTTTAGTAAAAGGCCATCAGTTCGGGAGGAGTTAGTTGGCTCCCATGAAGAGTATACTGAATGTTGAGTGTGCCCTCTAGTGTTCACACTTCTCAGCTTTCTTCTTTGTTTATTTACACTGGAACTGAAATTCTCCAAGTTGATCAAGACATTGAGGTGGTGACAATATTCATTGTCCATAGTGATTATGCAATGAATGTACAGATGAAAGAATGGATTGGCCTCTTCTCTAATAATGCCCAGGCTCAACGCAGCACCCAAATGCCTCTGTCCACTTTGCTCAAAACTCAAGCAGAGCTAAGGAGACCTTTTAGGACAAAGGCAGCTTACATAGGCAGCCAGGGGGAGTCAAATATGGTTAACAGAGAGTGCAAGGAGCACGTAAGGCCCTTACGGAGGCCTTAGGTCTCCTTTCTTAATATTCCAGTTTGGAAAGGGCTTGAAAAGACCTCCTAGAAAAAAATCAGTATTTTTTCTCATTCGAGTGACCTGCAGCAAAGAAATTTCTTTATGCAGAGACAGAAGACTCAATAATAACTCTTCATCTTGAGGATTCAGGTTAGTGTGCTTCCTAATGTACCTTTCGCATCCCCATGCAGTTATTTGTGCCATCAGAGAATCCTACTCCCCTGGGAAAGAACCCAAGGGCCCAAATCACCAAAAGAAGCCATTCCTTAGATTGGCTTCAGCTAGAGCTCCCCCAGTCTCTCTCTCATTGTGCCTTCTCTTCAAGACAGATATAGAAATGGATTTTTTGATTGTGCTCCAGAAACACTAATTCATGTGCAAAGCTGACACTTTTCAGAAACACTCCATTTCTGCCAGCACCTAGAAGCCAACTTTTTGCCCACTCCTGTAAACAGTGCACATATTTATTTTGTTCTGGATCAAATATATTATGCAGTAAGATTCTTAATTTTGTTTCCACAGGTCCTTTTGAGTAGTGAAACTGAGGCATTCTGTGGAGGTTCCATCATTAATGAAAAATGGGTCGTAACTGCTGCCCACTGTATCAAACCTGGCGTTAAAATTATAGTTACTGCAGGTAAATAAAGAAAAAGGATAATAATCTGCAGCATCACGGTATCTTCTATATGATTGGTACATCATATTTTACTAAGGTCTAATAGAAGAGTTACCAAGTAAGTTGGGCTAGTGGTAGAGGGGCCATAATTTCAAAACCTAGCATGCTCCATCCTCCAAGCTCCCATAGTTCTTTTGGTGTACCCATATTAGCATTCATCTCATTGGGGTACAATTATTTATTGATGTGTCCTTTTCCGCACCAGACTGAGCCATCCCAAAAGCCCATGTCATATCACTGATCTTGTATCTATCATGCCTGGTACAACCTGTAGTGTGTCCTCAGCCAACATCTGAATTAATAACCAAGAATTCGTGCTCAGGAAAGGGGTCAGAATACTTGAAACTGGAAAAGTCTAGGATAATTCATGACAAATAGATTCATTATCACCAACGTAAGACTTGTAACATCATGGGTAATTGGATTATCTCTGTGATGATCCTGAATGGTGTTTTGGTCTGAAAAAACATGCATTGGCACAGCATTACATTACATTTTACCAAAATTATCACAATATGAGATTGAGATCTTTGACTCTTAGCTTCCAGTTACATCAGTGATGCTGGGTAAACACTAGGAAAATCTGTTTCTTTATGTGAAAGACTTTTTGTGACTGAAAATGAGATTTATTTTCAATAGGTAAACATAACATTGAAAAGACAGAACCTACAGAGCAAAAGCGAAATGTGATTCAAGTTATTCCTCACCACAGCTACAACGCAACTATTAACAAGTACAACCATGACATTGCCCTTCTGGAACTGGATAAACCCTTAAGGCTGAATGGCTATGTGACACCTATTTGTGTTGCCAACAAGAAATACACAAACATCTTCCTCAAATTTGGATCTGGCTATGTGAGTGGCTGGGGAAGAGTCTTCAGCAAAGGGAGATCAGCTTCAACTCTTCAGTACCTTAAAGTTCCACTTGTTGACCGAGCCACATGCCTTCGGTCTACAAAGGTCACCATCTATAGTAACATGTTCTGTGCTGGCTTCCATGAGGGTGGTAAAGATTCATGTCAAGGTGATAGTGGGGGACCCCATGTTACTGAAGTGGAAGGGACCAGTTTCCTAACTGGAATTATTAGCTGGGGTGAAGAGTGTGCAATGAAAGGCAAATATGGAATATATACCAAGGTCTCCTTGTATATCAACTGGATTAAGGAAAAAACAAAGCTGACTTAAAGAAAAATATATTTCCAATGTTGATTCTTTGGGATTGAATATGGACAGGATCCCTTACTAACTAATCACTTTCCTATATCTTGTTAGATTTGAATATACACATTCTACGCATACTGCTTCTTCTCTTTACAGGGGAAAATTTCATCCAGAATTTGTATTTTACTAAAATAAGTAGATGAGAAAATGTAATCACTAGAAAAATAGAATGTGGTAGGAAATCACGACCATTGCTACGGGTTCAGCCCTTGACACAATTGTGTAATTCTCCACCCTGCCCATCAGGAACTCTGGTTCCCCACTGTGGCAACTCACCTGATTTTCCCTCCTTAGCAGCTTTCCATGTTCCAGATCTTTCTTGCCTCTCCCACCAATACATTAATATTTATCAGGTCTGTATACAGTGTCTTTGGTCTAGTCCATCACAAGGTCAGCATCACACTCATAAAGAAAGAACGCAGGAGCAGCCAACAGGTTAAAACTTATCACAAGCACTACTACTTCTCCTCTAACCTTATTCTTGAATCCATCATCTTGTCTAACTCCCAATACCCAAATTAGTTTTTCTCTTTCTCACTCCCTCTCTCCCTTTTTCCCTCCACAGTCATTAAAGTAGGGAAAAGGAGCATCATACAGTTTTACTGCTGGACACAGTGATACATGTCTACAAACCTAGATTTGCTTAGTTTGGTCTCAGACTTGGTTTTCAGAACATAGGAATGAAGTAAGGTGCCTGATGAATTTGAGGAAAAAGTTACTTTCAGAGAGTTAAGTTATTAACAAGCCATCCTGAATAGATTCCTAAGGGCTTGTTGTGTGGTTATGGAGGTCTGACTAGGGATGACTCCATGAAGGCAAGACAGGCATGTCATTGTTAACTAGGAAAGCTAACATCGACCCGGGTAGATTGCCCTCCGTCTGAAAAAATAATGCTAACAGAAAGAAAGGAATAGTCAGTTTACAACCAGAACTAGCCAAGTCTTCAAGGGAGAATACAACAGTGTGTCTCCAGCATCTCAACGCCAAGCAAGAAGTTGCCTAGACCAGAGAACATGAGCATCTTCCTTGACTGGTAGATCCCTGCAGTGCAGAAGGGTGCAGCAAGCTCAAAAGCTTGAGTCATTCCAATCAGCCCACTAACTCCCCCTTTTCTGGTTTCATGCTCACTTTTTGATTATAATTAATTCTTCTATATTGAATTTTCTAGAGGGCTGCCAACCAACCAACATATGTTTCCCTTTGAGAATTAATAAACTGTTGTTCTGGTTCATAACTTGGTTTTTTGTGAATTTGGTTGATGTGAATCAGTCACCCTGTATTTGATGATGTGTGGGACTACTCATGAAATCATGTTTTTGACCACTTGGACCCCACCAAGCCGCTGCTTCCTCCTGCACCCACCCCACCCCCAGCCAGGCCTCACTCTTGCTGATTTTTTCCCTTTGGTCTTTTTTTTTAATTGACACTTTGTAAATTGTACATGCATATGGAGTATAATCTGATGTTTTGACACATATATATGTTGTTAAATGATTGGGTCAAGGTGGTTAGTGTATCTACTGCCTCACACATTTATCATGTCTTTGTAGCAAAAACATGAAAAAGCCTCTCTTTTAGCTATTAGGTAATATACAAAACTTAGCTATTAACCACAGTCGCCCTGTTGTTCTTGCTGATTTCTTTAGAGTTCTTCTAGTTAATGCCTTTTTACTTTAGTCTTTCAAATATATGTATCAATAAATGCATTTTTAAATTTCTTAAAGTGTTTCTGGTTAAATCATTCCCAGAGAGGCATCCCAAACACTACATTCAGCAAAACACTCAGAAGAATACGTCCAAATGCAATACAATGCAGCAGAGATTTGATGCTGTGTTATGACCCACCTTTCATATGAGGCAGTGTGTACTATGTCCCAGGGAGGACAGTTGTCTGAATCCACCTGGGACAGAATTGGATTTAACTAGCTGTGAGTATTGCCTTGGATAAGTCACTCCCCATTCAGGGATTTGATTTCTCCATTTGTATAATGAGAAATTTTGACAGGATGCTAAAGGCCTTGTGACATTGATAGTCTGTGATTTCATGGGTTTTTCTCATTCCTTTATTCAACAAATATTCAAGGAATGATAACTGAGTGCCAAACACCAATAATGTTCATTAAATTTGAATTTGCATTTACATATTTTGGAAGTTAAATAAAATAACATATGTAAATTGCTTTGTCAGTGCCTACTACACTACTACACAGTGATTGCTCAATAAATGTTAGCTAAATCTGAATCCATGTTTATCCCCGAGTAGCAATTAGTCTTGTATTGACTATCATGAAAGGAGACCATACTTAAACACAAACAAGGTCTTGGATTTAGGTTTCATGAACAAATAAATCAGTTCTACTATTTTTGGCTAAAGGAAGGAAAGAGAAAGGAGACACTATAATCGCCTGCCTTGGGTTTAAGGAGGATGCTAATTCATGCATGAAACATGTTACTTCAAATTTGAATGACTGAAGGTCTATGGCCCCAGCACTGTGCAATTGGTAAAACTGAGACACTGGCTTGGTTACCATGGAGACCACCCTTTCAAAGGCAGCAGTGCTGAACTTGCCTCATGTCTCTTGTGATTGGTCTTCCCTGTGGCAGAGGGGGCAGCTCCTGGGCCCGTAAATCTCTGAGCCACAGTTATCCTTCTTCCCATGAGCTCGAAAACGACTGAGTTCGTCATGAGCCACCTGTGGCATGCTGCCACCACTAAACCTGTGGGGCCTTCAAGCCCACCTAATAGCCAGTGGCTTCAGAGCCAGGCCCTGGCTGAATTCTGCCTAAGGCATTTGCAGTTGCCATATAAGAATCATTAGTGCTTTCAAAGTCATGGTAGCTACTTAACCTAAATGGGCTGAAACATGCTGCTGTAATATTGGAAGCGACAGATGAAAATAGAACTCTTGCTGAGTGAAGGAAAGTGTGTTAATATAGTGCAGCATTTTAACTTGCTGTTTAAATATGATTATTTCTGGTTCTCTTGACTATTAGCTGCTTTATGGTGACAGGAACAAAGTACTGTCCAATTTTCTCTGCCAAGGGGGAAAAAAGGGGTTTCCTCTACTCCTGTCCTTAATCATCACAGATCAGTTTACAAAACTGCTTAATTATAACTTCTAAACAACTTCTGGATGCTTACAGTCCAATCTAAGAATGTCAGAGTTACAAGGACCCTTAAACATCATGCAATTTACTCATCCCATTTAACTGATGAGGAGATGGAGGCCAAGATAAGGCCAGGCCCACCATGGCAGAGCCAGGACTAGAACTCAGGTATCCCACCCTGCACTATGGAAGCCTAGTGCCTTCAACTGAAGTACACTAACTCCACTGTCTGTATTTTTAGGACAGCTGGGGCATTCTGCACTGGTGACAATCCTTTCAGCAAACCTGGGATTGAAAACTGCCTATAATTCTTACCAGTGATGCTCTAATTGAAAAACAGTTTACAAAATCAAGAAGACCAACAGGTAGCCTGGAAGGCAGAACGGCAGTCAAATAAGCTGGAGCTGCAGGCCCTGGCTCATAGCAGCTACTCAGTAAATACACGTAGAATGAATGTGTGGTACTGGTGTCCAGCGTTTAGCCCATCTGAGAGCATTGGCCCTTCCAGATGCAACGTTTGACTTCAAGAGCATGTTCAGTGTTATCTGGCACACGATCATTCCAGCAACATTTCAACTTTATTCATTGGCACTGTGCTGGGGAAGACATGTGCAGCACACCACGACAGCAGATTACTCCAGAAGCTGTTGATTGAGGGTTGAAGGTAGGCCTCAAAGGCCCTCTGTAGCTGGGATTCTAACAGTGAGGTGCAGCTGTGGAAGACTGGGAGCCAGACTACAGCTTCTGGCAGGCCTGAGTACAGCAATCGGGAATCAGGGCTTTTTAGATTTGAGGCGTATGTTATCTAGAAATCTCAGGATTAAAGCCACAAACATCAACATATTCTTCGAACTATGGAGGCTGTTGAAGGAGTCACAGCAGGAAAGGACTGTGGGATCCCTGCACTTTTCAACCAATCCAGGTCCACAGATCACTCTACTCATTTTCTCCTATAGTAGTTACAGGGTAGACCTTTTCCAACCTGCCCTTGGGACTATAGATTACCTTGATTTTTCTGAGTTAATTTCAACTTCTAATATGGGTAAAGGCATGAAAAGAGAAGAACAGCAGGCAGACCCTTTATTATATATATAGACAAAGACAGAAAGCCTTCTGGAACAGGGCCAAGACATTTTCTCCACACACCCACAGAATACGACAGAGCTATTTCAAACTACTGGCCAGATCATTTTACTCTAGTAGGAGAGCTATCCTTCTGTTAAGAGAAGGCTAGAAATAGCAACAGAGATTCCTGATTTCAAAGACTTCCATTCAAAAGATTGCTTCATTGCAATGTTAAATATGAGATCTTAATCTATAAAAATTTACCAACATAGTAAATCTTCCTAATGCTGTCATTCTTAAATTTATAGAAATGTTGTCGCATATAGCTTCTCTAGATCAATAACTGCAGAGCCTTAAGTGCTGACCTCATAAAGATAAAGCACCAGTGAAGCTTTGGTGAAGCTTTCACAAAGATCTATATTTAAAAGCTTACTTTCCTCTTAGATTATATAACAAAAATAAGCATGCATTTTCATGAGATTAAAACCCAGTTCTAAGAAGCCAAATTAAGAATGTAACATGTCTCTGAGAAACTCAATGCATGCTTGTTACATGAATGAACCAATGTGTGAATGAAATGGAATAACAAAAGCTATTAGTAACCGCAACACTGTGCAACACTCCCAGTCATCTAAGGTAGGAATAAGATATCTATCACATAAGGAAATATGCCATAGAAAGGGACACAGACAAAAAAAATGACAGGCCTCCTACATTCACTTTCTTCCTAGGATATAAAAAGGATTTATCACTAATTTCTAGGAAATGTAAGAAAGATAAGCCTAAAAGACTATGGTTATGGCCCTGTCCTTTTCATCTCCTGCTGACATTTATTGCTTTTGTGTTCGTAATTTCCAGAAGCTGTATTTACCTCTTGTCTGTGCTTTCTATCCTCATTTAGGTATTTATTTTATTGTTGCACCTTATTTTTGTAGATTCAACTCTGAGCTTTCATTTCAATTTCGTTCTCCCTAGAGTTATGACCCGATCAAATGACCCCGTAATGAAGACTCAGAATCAAACTTGTTGTTCTTGGCCATAAGGATTTAATTTTTCCCAATATGCCTCCTATATTATTCCTTGTCCACGCTCTCTTCCACATGCTGTTTCTAGTCCTAGATAGACTCTCTGCTTCCTTAGTTCAGAAAATGTAAATTTGGGTAACATATGCTAAAAGAACAGCAACACATTACCTAATGATGGGAGTGTTATAATTCAGAAATCTTAGCACCCCCTAATAAAGAATTTTACTGAACACTTACTGTGTGCCTAGCACTGTGCCTGTTCTGTAAGACACATTCAATGGTATGCTGAAACTGGCATGTACTAACTCACGAAAGCCATTTTTATTTTGGGGGGGCAGCTGGCCAGTGTGGGATCTGAACCCTTACATCAAATGCCAATGTTAAAAGAAAAACTTTGGACAAAATAAATTTAACAG